CCATGCCTATAAACATTCCCCTCCCTCTTCTTCCTTGCTCAACATCAGTAACCAGAAGGCATCAATTTAAGATGGTCAATAAATGAGCAAGTGGGGAGGTTGGGAGAAATTTTTATTTTTCACTCTCACACACATGCTGCATGCACACACACACGAGTGGATATGTGCGTGTATGCATTAGAATATTATTAGGTTATGGAATTCCCTTCCAGGAGTCGTGGTTGAGGCAGAATCCATATTAGCTTTCAAAAGGGAACTTGATGAATACCTAAAATGGAGTCAGCTATAGGGGTATGTGGAAAGGGCAGGTAAATGAGATTCTTAAAGGAACTGGCGTAGGCACAATGAACCTTGTGGCTTTCTGTGCTGCAAGTTGTTATCGTTCTTCGGTTCTACAGCATCCATCCCCACCAGTATACAGCGCTCTGAGACATTATCCTACTTGTGAAGGGTGCTATATAAATGCAAATTGTTGTTGTACCCTTACATAGACGTTCAATGTGTAGGTGGCATGCATGGAAATCTTAGCTTGGTTTGGATACTCTTAAGCCTGGAGATGGGTTTCCGCATGTGTCAGACACCCTGATGACCAAGCAAAAAGCATAGACGTTACGTCACTCTTTTTGTCCTGGGGAAAATTTGATTCCCAAATTTAATTGGGCAAAAATCCAGAATATAAATCCATTATTCATACCCACCCAGCTATCCCGGGGAATACCTCTCTCCTTCCTCCCTTTCTTTTTCCAGCACAAAGAAGCTATTGTGTTCTTCAATAGAATCACTGAGCCAAATGGACAAATTGTAGAAAATGAAAGGTGCACCATGAGTCCAAGTGCAAGTTGCAACAATATGTGGTTTTCAAAGAATTAAAAAAAGGAAAAACGAAGCTTACTTTAAGGGTGTATCATGGAATGCTCCTTCTTTAAATTATCATTCATTGAAAATTTTTGTCATAATCCTAAACATACAGTAGATACATGTAGGTACACACTCTTTAGAAAGAATAATTGGAATGTCCGCTTTGGGAAACACTGCCTTTATGTGGTTTTTAGCATTCCTCACATGACACAAATTTTAAATTTTAAATTTTAAATTTTGAATTCCGCTGCAGACGTCTGAAACTACAGAGCACGTTTTTACCTGTAAAAATATACAACCCTTTTCTCGTAACACAGACAATGCTGTTTCCAGAAGACGTTTACTTAACAATGAGCTGTCTGTGGGCTGCACCACTTTAAGCAAACTGAACTTGTATAAACCTATATTTGTGACATTAGCATGTGGAATCAATTATGGTTTATTAACCTCCTCTAAATTTAATCATCCTAATTGTGAGTTGTTGCATGGCTGGAAGCCAAAGTTGATCCAGACATAATCCCCAAGTGACATTGATAAATAGCAACTTTTCATAAGAACTGTTTTGATTCCTGATTTAAAAAAAAAAAGTTTTGGGCCTCCAATACAGCTCACAAAAGGATTTTAAACTAGGATTGTGCCAGTCATTGATCTGACAACGATCATACTATGCTACTTCTACATCTACCTGTATTTCTCCGTAGTGCCACCACTGATTTAGTGTTTGGAGCTTCAGCAGTATGTGAATCGCAAATCCAGTCAGCCATATCCACACGTGGGCAATCCTGATGTAAACCAATTGCTAAAAGTTTTTTGAATTACAGTACCGTATGGTGCCAGCCTCCACCTGCTATTCAACCAGCTTGTGAACTGCCATTTAGGCTGTTGTAAAGCTAAACCAGTAGATAAGCCAAAGGTACACCTGCACTTAAATGTTGTGATCCACAAGCCAGCCAGTTCAACAGCATCTGAGATTCTTCAGATTCAGGCCCAGCTATTGTGGTAAAGTTGGGGGTGTGGGGCACACATAAGTAAAGTTGCAGTACTTGACAATGTGCTATTTAACAGTTATAGTTATCACATCACATATTGCATTTTATATGTGGCAAGCTCTCAATTTTACTTATAATTGATTGCTTCTGTACAACTAGTCTCATTCTATGAAAACTGACTGATCATTCTTTTATTTGACAAACCTGATTGATTTATACATCCTAGTGTTCCAGTGTACCTTTACCAAACGTGGGTAAAAATTCCACCTGGGGTTAATTTTACTCCACTAACATAGTATTTCAGAGCATCCAGAAGTTCGCAATTTGTTAAATTCAGTTTTAAATTTAAAGCCCTTTTTTTTAGTTCTTCAAGTAACTTGCAGAAAACTGGCCTCAGAATTAAATACTGTACTGTATATATTTTATTGTATTTGCTTTACTTGAACTTTTGGGGGAGCAGAGAAATACAGGAGATCGTTTCTCAGGAGGTGAAATAGTTTGGGTACGTTCTCTGATGGTGGTTTGTACAGTTGTGTGTGGAAGGAATGACTTGAAGGCCTCTTGTTTTTTTACACAGACTGTAATGAACTGAGTTTGAACTACAGACAGACAGCATTTGCCCTGTGATCCCGAATTGGTTATGAAGATACAGTAACTTTCACAGAAAGTAATTTCCCCCCAGTTTATCAGCCACCATCAATGTGCTCACATGTATACCTTGGTGAACCCTCTAGTTGTGTTGACTACTTACTGCCTTATCTGTTCACCGTTGTCAAGTCGGTCTGAAAGGGGGGATCGATTTAAACCTTGACGTCCTGAAAATTGACTGATGTAATATTAATAACCCTGTTCAAAAGTGTAGCAGACCTTTTTGGGGGGCTAGAAGAGCTAAATAGTCTTGCTTAGTAGTTACACAGCCAAATAACAGATTGGCTGAAGGAAGGAAGCAGAGGACAGTCATTAGGTCAAAGTGAGGGGAAGTATAAAGCGGAATGCCTCAGGGTTTGTACTGTAACCCTTCCTGTTCCTCAAATATATTAATGGTGTGGACTTGCAAACCCAGTATATGGTGGCTACGTTTTCTAATGACATCAAGTTGAGCGGAACTGTGGAATCAGAGGAGGCAGTAATGGTCTTACTAAGAGAGTTTGATAGGGTATGCATATGGCTTGATGTCCTATAGGTTTACGTGACAGGAATGTAAGTATCCTGCATGCTGTGTAGAAAAATTGGCGTGATGGCCTTTTTTGTTCCATGCTTCTTTTTGTGAATATGTTTTTTTTGTGATTTGTACTAATGTATCAAAGCAGATTTGATTAAGTACTGAATAAGAAACATTCAGCCTGGGAAACTGTGCTTCAATCAAACATGGTACAGTGGTCTGATTCTGCTGTTAGCATAACAACAGCAACAAATTGTATTTACGTGACAGTGCGAAGGCTGGAGGAGAAACCATTGGTGGTTACAAAGTGGAAACAATGGAAAAAGTAAGAACAATACCAAGCAAGAACAGAACCATGAAAGTAGAGCTGAGAGGAGCGGTGGAGAAGAATATACTGGTTGACATTGTTGAAGGCGGTATAGAGATCGACAAAGACAAGAAGGCAGAGAATCCTGGTCACAAATGGAAAGAATGTTATTTGTAACTTTGCTACCTCATAACATAGGCTACCTCTGTTTTGTTGAAATAATGATCGTGGCATTTGCCAAGATGCCTTTTCATCTCATTGAAACGTCACATAGTTCTTCACAGGGTATTTGACTGTATTTGTAGGTGAACACGGCAGCCAATTTGTGCACAGCAATGACCCACATAGAGTCACAAAGCGAATATCAATCTTATTTGATCACTGTTGGCCAGGGAGGTGCTCCTTCTCTTTTTAAATAGTGTCATGGAATCTTTAATACCACCCTGAACAGGCTGACCAGGAGCTCGGTTTAACGTCATATCTGAAGGACAGCATTTCTGACAATGCAAAGCACCCCCAGCCAGCACTGAATGGATTGTCAGCCAAGTTCAAAGTCCTGACATAAGGCTTGAACCCAGAACCTTTGAGTTGGGCGAGAATACTATCAGCTGAGTTGGGCTAAGCAGCAATTGCAAGAGGTTTTTGTTAGTGAAAGCTGAGCGGCATGTGGAACAGACGACCAGCCTAGGTGGTGAAACAGAAAATTATTATGGATTTCAAAAGGGAACTGGTTCCTAGAAATTAAGCAGACAGAATGCTGTTTTTTCCTGGTATCCAGGCCAGTAATTCTGCAAATTAAATAGACATACACGGCTGTTTCTTGGGGCTTGTTGCGTCGGCTATAAATCAGCCACCGCACTTAAAGTAATTACCTTGAATGTGATGTTTTATGGTGTTTTGAAGTGATAAGGTACTATAAAAATGCAAGTTTTTATTGCACCTTATCCCAGGTACTGTGGAATCCAAGTGTGTATTGCAGGTTTTGTATTGCACTTTCAGGCAATCAATTATATACCCAGAGACAATGACACAGATTTGGGTTTCCACTTGTTATTTGCATTACTTTCTAATGTCAGGTATATTTAGAATAATGGCAGCTTTATCTTTTATAAAGAGAAAGGCAGTCTCCCAATCCAATTCTTCTGGTAAATTATAAAATCAAACAAATGAACGTGATTTCTTCTGATGTCCTGGCCAACAGTTCCCCAAATAAAATTAGTTGTTCACGTCTTGGCTGTTTGTAGGACATTGCTATGTACAAATTGGCAGTAAATTGCATGAAGCTCTTTAAGATGTCCTGCCGATGTGAAAGGTGTTATAATAAGGCAATAATAATATTTGCATTTGCACATCACATCATTGAGACATCTCAAAGCACTTAACAGAATATTTTGTGGATTGAATGTGTATTTTGTGGGCAAAGATTATTAATTGTTAATAACCTTATTAAACCAATTCCTCGGCAATGCTTCATTTGAATGAACATACTGATTGCCCATTGTGTGCAGTGTTCTAATAAACATATTTTTTAAGCACATTTTATAGCATATTGTAAAATGTATTAATCTGTGATATTTCAAAAGATACATTCTGCTACTGTACATCAACGTTCCTGAGTATTTGAATTGTGTTGCCTCTCGCTCATGAACAAAAGTATGACAAATTTTTGTGGATTTGTTTTTAGGCAGCAGGAGCCATCAGGCCACTTGTTTCCACTATCATCGCTACCAACCCAGCAGGCTGTCTTGATCATTCTCTGGATCGTGCCAAATACAGGGCTAGTGAAATGCCACAGGCCTTCAAATTTGACATAATTTACAAAGCTTATCAGCAGGTAGGATCGACTAGCTATGTATGTTTACCTGTATTTATTGGAAGTAAATTGTATAGCAATTTAATGAGATGTATTATATCAGCAGGTAAGTACAGGTATTTGGTGTGGTTGTATATATCACTGTATACAAACAATACTATTGAGCCAAATTAATTTGTAAGCCTTCTCCTTACACCTATAATTGTCTTTGTGCTTGTACATTTTGTTCTAACATTCATTGTCACCTTTTGCCTGTTTTATAGATAACTAGGAGTAGATATTATAGGGAGTTTAGGAGAAACTTTAGATTTGAGGGTGATGAGAATATGGAACTCATGGCCAGAAGGTGTGATTGAAGCAAAATGTATCAATATATTCAAGAGGAAATTTGATGTGTACACAAGAGAGTAGGACGTATGGGAAAGGGGAATAGGAGGGGTGGGGACTTGTGCAGTGTAGAAACATCAGCATGGACAAGTTGGGCCGAATGGCCTCTTTCTGTGACTAATCATTCTGTGTAACTCCACTTGAGTTGGAAGACTGAATGCCCCGCAGTCTCGCAATTCTGCTCATATGTATGATGGCTATAACATTGTATCACATACTAAATATATCCATATAATGAACTGATCTGGATCTAAGCTGCCATGACAGCTCTGTGATGACTGCAATCAATTGAAAAGCGGATATACATTATTAACTTTTGAAAGCAGTTATGTGCTTCCAGACACTTTTAATTTTTTTTTTTAACCATCGCCCATTCTGCTAAAGGTAGGAATTGCTAAATAGATTTCTTTTATAATGAAATAAAGAGAGCTTCTTGTGCCACTGATATAATTTGACTTGCAGATTTCATGTTCAGTTGGAGGGCAGTGCATTGCAGGACATTTATTGCTTTTCTCTTTAGTACCATTTTAAAACTTTGTTCACTGTTTAGTTCTAGTACTATCCTTTATTTTATGACCTTGGCAGAGACTGAAACAAAAAACAAAGTTGTGAAAGGGCACGTTGTTTTAGAACTGAAAGAAGACTAAATTCACTAAAATCAACAGTGTTGGGAAGTTGCCAAACTACGAGAACATTTGAGTACCAATTGAGCTGTACATAGATGTCCTCTGTTTGTTTGTTTCTTTGTTTTAAATAGATTGATCAAAGCAATTTGCACTTGGGCCAAATATAATTACTTATGCCTAGAATTATATGGATGGGTCTTTTGACAATGTTCCTCCCTATAAAATTAGAGGGCTTTTTTTTAGCAAATGGTTAGAGAATATGTTATCATTATACACAAATAGATATGATAGATAAGAGTTTGTATCATATTTAGTGGATAACCTAAGTAAATCTATCTGAAGGAAGATGTTGCATGGTTGGCAGAAATTATCTAAATTTCAAAGACGTTTGACTAACTCAAACAAAGATATTCTAACATATAGATCCCTGGTGAGGGCATATCTGGAATACAGTAGAATTCTGTGTATCCACATTTCAATATCTTCATGTCTACTTATCTGCATTCAGTGCAGAAGTGAAGTGAAGCTGCAATGCCGGGAAACAAAGAGGGTAGTGGCAGGAATGTGCGTACAAAATCCCAACATGATTTTCTTTGGTCAGCCGGGTATCTGACACATAAGAAACTCATCACCATCTTTAAGAGTATCCAAACCAAATTGAGAGTTCCATGCATCCCGTCTATACATGGAAATTCCAGAGATGTTTATTAGAATTGAATGCAAGCTCTCTCCCTGGAGGGACGCACTCTGCTTACCCAATTCCAGAGAGTATTAGGTTTTGGGGTACTGCTGGAGTCTAACCAGCTAAAACCGCATAGCTTGCCATTGAAAGTACTGTCTGATAAGCTTTCCCGCTGCTTATCCAGCTAGGACTATCCTACCCATTGGGCTTAGGCTTGCAGCGTTAACGGGAGCTGAGTGGGAAGAATCCCTGCCCCTAGTTACTGGTCTCCCAACCTGGCTCTGGTATCATAATAATAACAATAAAAGCAGTGCCCTTGAATACTGTGGACTCGCGTGGCTCAGGAACCGGACTACAGCGACCACCACAGAGGGCTGGCTCGATTCCGACTTGCCATTGCCAGCCCTGTCACCATGGAGCCAGTTCAGCTCCAAGGAGACCCGGCTTATCTCTTCCCCAAGGAGGATAGACACGAGTTGGTAATTTGATATCCGACAAGCGTAGATTTGAGTCCTCACTAGTAGGGTGGCAGGTACCAAGCACTCCGGGACAACCTCCCCACGTGAAAGGTGCTATACAAATGCAATGTTGTATTGTACCAGGAATGGAATTTACTCATGAAATATAGGGTGAGTGAATATATTCAGTGACTTTTTATATATACAGTGATATATATATTGATCTAATTTAAAGATATACAGTGATATAATATATATATACATATATAGTATATATATGAGAGAGAGAAATTAAGAAGAGGAGAGGGAGTGAGAAAAGTGGTATGATTCCTGATGCACAACGGGGCTGGTTCCAATCTGGGAATTAAAAAGCTGTTTGTTGTATTGTATGTATGCAGTTTTAGCTACACTACCTTTAGCAGGACACTGAAGTATTGAGGAAGTTCAGAGAATGCTTCAAAACTTACCACTTTCATGTTATGGCAAGAGGTTTGTAGAGCTTCACACCTGGTAGAAATCTTGTTTTTCTTGACTGGTTGCATCTTAATAGCTTGAGATTATCAAACTAAACTTAAAAAGTAATAATGATAATGCTTGCATTTGATATAGTATCTTTCACATCAGGAGAACATCTCAAAGTGCTTCACAAAATTCATTGTAAATTGTAGTGACTGTACTTTTGTACAGCAGCCAATTTGCCGGACCGTTGTGAAGTGGAAGATTGTTGACCAGGACACTGGAAGAAACTCCCATCTCTTTTTCCATAGTACGATGGGATCTTTAATTTCCATTTGAACAGGCAGATTAGATCTCGGTTTAATGTTTTGTCTGAAGGAAGGCACCTCTGACAATTTAGCACTCCCCAAGCACAGCACTAGAATATTGTGAGTTCAATGTCATAATGTTGAACGTGAACCCAGAACCTTCTGACTCAAAGGTGTGAGTTCTACCAATTGATCCAGGCTGACCAAGTACACTGAAAACTCACCATATGGGCAAATAAACATCTCCTCCCATGATCTCAATGCATCAGTGGTGTATTTGCACTCCTTGAAATCAATGGAGATTAACCGTAATATGAGACACTCCAGAGAAGATCCTTGTGAAAAAGCCTCACATCCCAAAATTGGCATTCTTGGCATCCAGATCATTAATATTGTGCTTCACCCGTCAACATTCTGTCAAAAGGAATATAATACTTTGTTGAAATGTCACAGCACGAAAGCTACATCACTTGTTGGCTGAGAAACTGCAGTTTACATGTCTCGGCCCATCTGTAGCCTGGGCCATGTTTTCTGGGTAGGCACAGCTTCGCTTAAGTGTAGGTTACTCTGCATCAGGCAGACGTTAATTGGTTTGCAAAAAATCATTGTAAAAGTAATGCAATTTAAAAAGCTGTTCTAATGACTGGGTATCAAAATCTTGGCCCCTGCTAAATGTTAATTCTTTACCAGCAAATGTGGCCATCCAAATTCATTGCCTATTCTCTTGAAACCATGGCGGGGGAGGGGATGGGGTGGAGAGGGGGAGGTTTGGTCAGTCTCAAAGCTGCCATTAAGGATATTTTGCAATCGATAATGTTTCTTAATTATCTCTTGCGATAATTAAGGAATGGAATGTGTTTTAGGAGAACCACAGTTTTGACCCCAATTTAACAATGCTCCCAATTAACAGTAATATACTGGCTCCAAATGGCTTAGATTAAACAATGATACCAAGTCAACGTTATTTATCATTTAACAATGTTTTAGGCTGTTAGATGAAAGTAAAGTGAACTGATAAGGCATTTGTTAATGTGCAGCTCGAATTGTCTTGGGAAAACAAAATTGATTCTTAATAATTTGGTATGGTTGCTCTCAGAGAAAAATGTATGTGCGCAGATTTAATCCACTGAGTACTGGGTATTCTGAAGAAAGTAGGTCCTGCAATCCATTACAGACACCTTTATGAATGTCACATGGTACATAATTGTTGTTTGGAGATGGTTGCTGTTAAGCGTGTGTGTGTATGTTTAAAGGTGAGAAAGCAAGTAGACAAAGCTGTCAACAACAACAGATTACATTACTTAGTGCCTTTCACGTGGTGAGGACATCTCAAAGCACTGGACAGTCAAACATTTGTATGCGTGCAGGGGGTTGGATCAGGAAGGGGTGGAGGGTAGGGGTAGGAGGGTGGCCAAAGGCGCAATTGAAGAGTGGAGTCTTGAGACATGCTTTGAAGGAAGCAAGGGAGGTAACAAGGCAATGGGACTGTGGGATAGAGTTCCAAAGGGTGGGGGCACAGAGGCTGAAGGTCCAACCTCTGATGGTTGGGCGGTCCAGCTAGGGTCATGGAGCAGGCCAGAGCCTGCAGAGTGGAGGGAATGGACAGGTTTATATGGCGTTAGCAGGTCACAGAATTAGGAAGGAGCAATGCCGTGGAGAGCTTTGAAGGCAACGACTAGGATTTTGAACTCTATCCTCTGGGGGATGGGGAGCCAGTAGAACTGGGCGAGGGTGAAGGTGATAGGGTTACAGAACCTGGTGCGGGTGAGGACACGAGCTGCAGAGTTCTGTATGACCTGCAGCTTGTGGAGGGAGGAGTTGGGAAGGCTGACAAGCAGGAAGTTGGCAAAGTTGAGCCTAGATGTAATAAATGCGTGGATGAGGGTTTTGGCGGCCTGAGGGGCGAGGTAGTGGCGGAGCCGGGTGATGTTGCGGAGGTGGGGGAAGGCAGAGCAGGTCATGGCCTGGATGTTGGATAGAAAGGACCGTTAAGGGTCAAACAAGACTGCAAGGTTCTGGTCTGGCTCAGTGAGGTGGAGTGTGCAAGCATGGATGGTGATGCTGTCAGTGCCTGAGGTGTAGAGGTGATGACAGGAGCCAATCAGGAGAGCCTCGGTCTTGTCGATGTTCAACTGCAGAAAGTTGGCTCTCATCCAGGACTTGATGAGTGGAGTGAAGTGAAGAAAGCTCATAGCTATGATCCTGAATTTTATAAATTGGGCAATGTGGTTATGCTTAACTTGCATGTTAACTTGTGCTGTCTTTCAGATGAAATGTTAAACCTGTCTGTCTTTCTCAGATGGAAGTGAAAGATCCCATTGCATTATTTGAAAAGAGAATGGTGTTTCTCCAGGTGTCCTGGCCAACAATTCCCCAAACAATATTGGTCATTCAATTCATGACTGTTAGGTCATTGCTGTGCAGAAATTAACTGCTGAGTTCTCCCACAAAACACACAATCTCTGCACTGTGAAGTGCTTTGGGATGTCCTCTTGACGTGAAGGTGCTAAACCAAATGTTAAGTATGATGGTTATTATTATTCACGCCACATTTAACACCGCCCAAACCCTTGTCCATACCTTCTGCCTTGACCATTCCAATGCCCTCCTCACCGGTCTCCCCAACTCCACTACCCACAAACTACAACTGATTCAGAACTCTGCTGGCCATATACTCACCCACACTAAACTCTGTATCCCCTTCGAATCAATCCTCGCCAGGCTTCACTGGCTTCCTATCACAGAACAGATCAATTTCAAGATCCTCTCACTCGTCTACAAATTCCTTCATGCCTAGCACCTCCCTTTCCAACCTGCTTTCTCCCCACTCCACTCCGCGCTGCCTTTGCTCGCTGGCTCTGGCCTCCTGCTCGTCCCTCGTCCCCTCCGCTCCACCATCGGCAGTCATGCTTTTAGCCACTACACCCCAAAACCTTGGCACTCTCCCTCGATCCCTCCACCTTGTCCTATCCTTACCCTCTTTTAGATCACTTCTGAAGCCCTTTCTCTTCGACCGTCAGCTCGGCATCAGGCTCTGCCACTGAAAAGCGCTCCAAGTTGCTGCCCTGCGTGAAGGGTGCTATATGAATGCAAATTATTGTCATTGTACTGACAAACCAGTGTAATCAATATTTTAAACAACTTGTAATAGGTTTCGTCTGGGATAGCAAAATGGGATTGAAAGACAGATTGAGAGCGACCTTTACATTTTAATTAAAGGAAATATTGGAATTAATTGTAGGAAGAGTGCAGTAGGTAGAAGCAGTAAGAATGTTTGACATGACATAAAATTACAATTCAAGAAAATTATTCAGATTTTAATTGTTGGAACCGCTCACGCTTAGGTTTTTCTCCTTCCTTTTCTCCCTCCCCCCAGCTCAGCGTCACACTCCGCCACTGTTAAGCGAACCGAGCTGCTACCTGCTTGAAGGGTGCTCTATAAATGCAAGCTGTTTTTGTTGTTGTTAATAAAGTACTTGTGTTGGATGCGGAAGAAGCAAGAACTGCCAGTGGAATTTACGTTTTCACGTTTCGATCAGTAAATGCATTGTTGTAATTCTTATCACTATGAAATGTTAGCATGTATTCTTTAGTCTTAAAGTCGTTTCTAAAGGTGTTGCATATAATTAAAGGAAACCAGATTTACACCACACCAACTTGCGGGATCTCTCCGTCAACGTGATCTAACTTTGGCCAAGCATTACCAATATTCCAGAAGGCAAAACAAAAGCAAGACAAGGGTGGAATAGTATATTTTTCAGAAAACTTATTTATTGAATGTAGTGTATAATGATCCAGCGATGAGAAATTATCCACAATAAATTATCATAATAGGAGGATAATCCAGCATTCTCCTACATGTACCATCATCTAATTGCTTTCAGGTTAACAGAGGGCACAAGAAAATGCACATCAACCTACTTGTGTGGATGACACATGAAAATAATTTAACTACAGTCCATTATTAAGATAGAATGTTAAATTCACCTGATACGTAACAAAGAAACATTATGTGGAACATTGATAGCGACTTTAATGCAGCAAGTAGTGTGTTGAAAAGGATGAATAACACAAGAAAATTAAAAATACAGTATTTAGCATGTAGAAGCTTACTTGGTTGTGTAACTGAATGTAATAATAATCGTTGCATTTGATATATCTCAATGAGCTTCCTCGAATCTATTGTAAAGTAGATTGACACTGTATTTTGTGGGCGAAATGCGGCAGAGAGTTGCGCACAACAGTGTCCCACAAACAGTAGTGGATTGAGTGGATTAAACTTGAGATGATCATACTGTGAAATTTGCACAGAATTTTAAGATTTTGGTGGCATTTGAGGTGAAACAATTTTGAAATGGGGACTTCAGTAAAAGTCTTTAGTGTTTCAAACACCTGCCATGAAACGTGTTTTGTTAAACCTCTCTTTGTTTGACGATCGCTGCTAGTGCTATTTGTGTGAAGCTATGAGCACAAATACCATGAGGATTTCACAGTAATTCTTACTGAAAGCATTAAAGGCAATAGGATATATTAAACTCCAGTTCTGATACCTAAGTAATACAATTACAATTTGGTATTCCTCCAGGCAATTTAGCTATAGATTTACATAAGATGTGTTGCACAAAGTAGTGCATATTACCATTAAAGGACATTCAGCTGTAGTTTGACATGTATTGTCCATGTAAAGAAGACTATTGTGAATGGGACCATCAGTGGTATACTCCTATGAAGCCAAACATAGTTATATAAAGGGATAAGTGGCATTGCATTTGTTTTACACCTTCCTGTGCAAAGGCAAGGTACTTTTGTTTGGAAAGATGCAAAGAGGCAGATAAGACTTTGGTCTGAGATTATATGATGTGCCTTTTTATTGTTTGGGTAGCTGTTTCATTATTTCAGGTAACTGAAGCCTTAACATACCATAACATGTAACCTGTCATTCCCTTGAATGATGGCTCTGATGTACAGAAATATTTAAACAGAGGTCAATGGGTGTGGAAGGAAAACAAAACCTTAGCCCAGTAGAGCTATTTCTTGATGGGAAAGAGTGTTCAGTTTATAGATCTAATTTCAAATGGAAATGCAGCTCTTGCTATCACAAGATTAGTCTTTAATGCTATAACCACTTCCTTTTTTTACACATCTTAAAGAACATTGTTGGCTTTGAATAACCTTACTCCGAGTCCCAGTGAACTTTAACAAATTCCTTGAGAGATAAAAATGACGTTGATCTACTGCATAAGAATGAATGCTTAATATAAATGTTTCTCTGAATCCAAGTCTTGACCTGCAATGGCACTTGAGATTATCCTCAGGAGGCTGTGCTTTGCCATTCTCAATCAGACAGACTGGCAGGCAGTCAGACAGGGATGGAGGATGAGGAACTTAATGGAATGGTTCCCCTTTCTTTTCTTATTATACTTGACCAGGCCCCTTGATGGGCTAAGCACTGGCTTCAGTGGAAACCATACAGATACTGTATTAACCATTGATATGGTTACCTTATAAACCAGGCAAAAGAACTTGAAAACCCTTATCGGAGCCTATATTTCCACAGCTTAAGATATGATATTTATGTCCAGCTATAGGAATAGCTACAATGACTTGAGTTGAAGATATTTCATTTGCTTTCAAATAAAGCAGTGTTTCAGAGGTCTAGTACCAACCTCAGCGCTATAACAATTTCTGTCTATGCTCCTATTACAGTGAAAGTTGGAATGAAATACCTGGTCAATGAAACAAAAGCTAGACCGTTTCTTATTTTTGACTGATCTTTCTGTTTCGGGTGCTTATGGATTTAAAAATAATAATCCTTACATTTTATAAAGGGCTATATAAATGTTTTACATTGAGAGGACATTTCAAAGCGCTTCACAGAAAAACTTACAACACATATGTTTTTAGAATACCAGAACTGGCATGCTTTTTTATTTCCTTTTTCCTTCTACTGTTTAGTTTGTGAAGATTATAAATGTACGGAGTCAGTTGTTTTGAGATATGAATGAGAACTTGAAAATTGAAGAGTCATAAGGGCACCTTTTGCTATTTAAACTGGTCATTACTTTCATTTGCAACTTACAAAAAATCATGTCAGTTTTTGTTCAAGTACGTTGTAAGTTACTATTTTATATTTTACACACACAGTGCACGGATTACGATTTTGAATATGGAACCGAGTGCCTCCATTTAGCTCTCCAGTATTGCAATACTCCTGCCAAGCTCATCGATGGGTCGCCAGACCTCTGGAAGGTAAGAGTGATGGCTGTTCAGCTCTGGCATTTCTCGTCTGTCAAAACAATTCCTTTTTATCAAAATTCAATGGTCAATGCGACCAAGAGAATATAGTCATTGATGCATTATACCCTGCCTGACTTAATGTGTGCAGGCAGCATAACATCTACTTTTGTAATTTTAAAAATGCCTTGATTTCATATTTGAGATAATCTTTTTTATTTTTAAAATCACACAATGTAGCTAAGTACTGAGAAATTGTATAATAACCTTGTTATGGGGTAAAAATTTGATATTTCATAACAAGTTATTGATGTGTTCACATTGAATCCATTATGAAACATTTTTTTCTGTCCATTGCAAAGGACTGACTGTGGATCCCCCATCCTACAGCCGCCCCCACCACCCCCGCCCCCCCCAACGCTTTTGTTTGGTCCAAAGCTTTATATAGAATTACATAGACTAAAACAGATCATTCTGCCCAACTAATCTGTGCCAGTGTGTATACTCCCATGTGAGCCTCCATCCCCCCTAATCCTTCCATTTCTAGCCTCCCCCATACTCTATTCCCTTCTCCCTCAAGTATGTATTACTTCCTCTTAACATACTGTGCTTTACAGTGGTGAGTTCCACATTTTGATCCTCTGTATACAAAAGTTCCCCCTAAGCAGACTTATAGATTTGCTAATGACTATTTTATATTCATACTGCCTTTTAATGGATTCACTAACAAATGGAAACACTGCATTTATATTCATCTCAATCAGGTCACCTGTTAATCCTCTCATCTTTACAGGAAAAAAACTCTTATTTTTCTAATGTTTCTTTATAGTTGTACCCTTTCACTTGTGGTGACATCCTAATGAATCCAAGCTTGACATCAAAAATGTTCAGCACCATTTGAAACTAATAATAATATGCATTTTGATAAAGCATCTATAATGTTGAACATCTCAAAACACAACAATATTTCTATAAAATTTGTAGGTGATAATAATAATAATATTTGGTATAGCACTTTATCATGGCGGAAGGATGTCTCAAAGCACTTCACAGGATTTACTGTGACATGAAGTAACTGTATATGTAAGCAAACGCACAGCAGTATTCCACAAACACCATGAAATGAGTGACCAATTTTATTTTATTTATCCCCTGCCTCTGATTGCATAGTGGTTAAATGTAGTGTATTGTATGCTACTGAACTGTTGTACCAGAAAAGTCCCAGTTTGGTCGCCAGTCTCTGAGATTGGAGCGGACAGCACTCATTGACTGCATTCTTGAAAATTAACTGGTGTTTTTGTTTCCCGTGCCTTTATGAGAAGATGTTACATGGTAAAATCAAATGAAGTATCAAAAGAAAACTTAGCGTGGAATATTACCAGCAGTAAAATAGAATCAGTTGCTGCATTGAAAGTAAACACAGCAATACAGTATATTGTAGCTCTTGATTTGTGTTGAGCATTAAAATCAGATATCCGGAGTAGCATGTGGTGTTTTTTGAATTTGTTTATTTGCTGATGGAACACCTTCAGGCTGTGATTACATTAGATATGGATCTTTTTTTCTGTGCTAAACATAATGAAGTTTGTCTGCCCTTCAGGTGACCTACAAGCGGGACCTCTATGCAGCTGAATCGATTGTCAAGGGTATGTATTCATGTGTATGTCAAATTGTGTTATTTTAAGTTGCTTTACTTTGCTCTGTTGGAACTAATGTCATTGAATATATAGGCAGACTTCAGCAGCAGACTGAGATCAGCTGCATAATGAAGCTAGGATCTGTTTAAAGATTACTAGGGCAGGAGCAGTCAATGATCTTCATGATTCCCAGTTACGATTAGGGACTTTCAAAAGCATTTGTGTGAAACATTGCTCTCGGAATGAGATTCTAACAAACAGTTTATTCTTTTAAATCTTGGTTTCCAGAAGTCTGGTTCTAATATGCAGGAGACTATTTAAAGAAAATGAACACAGATTAAATTCGAACAAACCATAAATACTTCAGCATATATTTGTCGAACAGAAACACAGAGAATTTAGGCAGGTTAATATAATAATAATCCTTACATTTGATATAGCGCTTTTCATGTATTCTAGATGTCTTCAAAGCACTTCATAAAATATACTGTAAAGTGAATTGACTGTAATTTGTGGGCGAAATGCAGCAACCAATTGTGCACAGCAGTGTCCCACAAACAGTCGTGGATTGAGTGACCAAATTATTATTTTTTTTTATCTTGAGGGATTATAATCAGGTATGTGGAGTAAGGAAACTTGCCCTAGGTTTTGCCCTGCCGGGAATCGAACCCAGGTCTCTCACTTTCGAGGCGAGTGCTCTAACCCCTGAGGTACAGGACTCCTATAATCGATATGGTTCTATGCAGCCTCGCAACCTATTTTAGGATCTACTTTCAATATTCTATTCTGTTTGTATAGCTGAATGCCAAGAGCCTTGCTAATACAAGCTATCAACTATTGTGTTGCTAAATAATAATAATAATAATAATCCTTGCATTTGATATAGCGCTTTTCACGTCTTCTAGACGTTCCAAAGCGCTTCACAGAATATACTGTAAAGTGAATTGACTGTATATTTGTGGGCGAACGCGGCAGCCAATTGCGCACAGCAGTGTCCCACAAACAGTCGTAGATTGAAAATGACCAATTTATTATTGTTTTGTGTTTTGGAGGGATTATTATTAGGGGTGTGGAGTAAGGAAACTTGCCCAAGGTTTTGCCCTGCTTGGAATTGAACTGGAATTGCTTTAACCACTGAGCTACAGGACTCCACACTTGAAGCAGCTAACTCGGTTCGAAACTGGCTTTGAAATAGAAAGCAAAAGAATGATGATATAGGGACAAAAACTCTAGTAGGCACTGATTTGTGGAGTTCTGTGAAATCTCTCATTTGATCCATCTCCCCTCTCACAATATTCAAACCTATGCAGGAGGGCATTTTTCATAATGTAGAAATATTCTGATAATACCAGAGTACTCTCAGGTCATGCATTTGAAAAATCAATAGCATTCATTTAAACATATGGCCTAAAGATCAGCAAATGGATTTTAATGTAGATACAGTAAATATAAATTTGTGCATGTGAAGCAATGATGTACAAAAAAGGGTAAAAAAGGAGATTGATATGATTGTGTATTCATTGAAAATATCCATCAGTGTGAAACTGATATTGGTGAGGCCAATCATGTCCTGGGATGCATTCAATCAATGTCATTGTCTATCATTCTCCTGAATGCAGTGTGATGCATTCATTCAGTGTCTTCGGATGCTTTGTGATGCATTCGATGCATAATAGTTTGATTTGGAGTTGAATAAATAAATGGTTTTGTTTTTCCTTTTCTTCTCTGCTTTTCTGAAGATGGAGACGCGTATTTATACATGTGCATTTTCCAACAGCGATTTCTGGATAATGATCCCTGGTATATAGGGTTCATTGTTACATCAGGAGGTGGAGTTCTCATCTAAATCAATAGTCATTACGCAACATAGAAATGTGGCCCTCCACCTTTACCTGGGTGCGGAAATTGATTGCTTCTCCATACTTGTCTGAGCCTCCTGTGGCTTGGCGAGCTGTAGAGTGTTGGCCAAGTTAGAATTCAATATTGTTCTCCCTCCTTCAACAAGGAAACAGATGCTATCGGGAACAGTATTATGCCAGCTTCTATTAAGCAAGTGAAAGGTTTCCATTAAAATAGAACTATTAGTGAAAAATATGTCTTGCCAGTAAGATAAGGACTTGTGGTGAGAAAGCATTCAGCTGTAACTTAATTCAGCTGCCTTCAGCTGGGCGGTAAGCAGGGTCTTCTTGGATCTCAGCGGCTCCAAGATGATATGTTTAACAACGGAATGTCAGAATCAGACCCGGCCCTTTGCGGTGGTCTCGGTTCCTGAGCCAGGCGGATCCGCAGTATTCCAGGGCACTGAGGACGACAGCACAGCCAGCCTATATGGCTATGTATCTATGTATTGGCAGGACTTGGAAGAGCAGACCAGTCACTTAGGGCAGGGACTTCTTCCACTCAGCTCCTGTTAACCCTGCAAGCCAGAGTCTTCATGGCTAGGGTGGTCTTAGTTGGACAAGCAACGGGAACCTTGCCAGACAGTGCTATCAATGGCAAGCTATGTGGCTTTAGCTGGTTAGACTCTGGCAATTACCCCATGGAACTCTGTTTGGTTTGGATACCCTTCATGGTGAAGGGTTTATGCTTGTGTCAGACACCCAGCTGAGCAAAAACAATATAGAAAGGATGAATAACCATGCAATGGAAAATGATGGTTCCTTAGCCATTAGGACTGACTTGATGTCATGCAAAGAAAGCAGTGATAAAGGCTGAATAATGTAGGTTGCAAGCCTAAATATAGTTGTAGCGTAGGACTTTGATTGAGCCATAAATTGTAGGGTGGTCCTAGCTGAACAAGCAATTGAAAGCTTGCCAGGCAGAGTTTGCTGGCTAAACCTCCAGCAGTACCTTAATGCACACTTGGGATTGGGGGGATGTCTTGGCTCTTGCCAATTGGCACCTCATACTCTGAAGGATTAGTTAAGCAGGATGGTTCCCTCGGGGAAGAGACTGTGCACTCTATTCCAGACAAAGGCAATTTTTGATGTATGTCTGATATACTTTTAAGCATGGTGATAGATTTACACCTCCATCAGCCACCCAAATGACGAACCTCCCAAAAAAAGAAAATTGTTTAATCTCTATGAAGTTAGGAAGAAACCTTGCAAAATATTTTCTCAGGCCCTTCACGCTTTCTTTTATTGTTTAATATGGCCAGGCAAGATCTGATACATTGCACCACACACAATGGACAAAACACTGATGTGGGAGTGTGTTTCTCCACTTACGTAAATTAGCCCTGATGCCGTTGAGACCTGTACAACAGAAATAAACCAGTTAAGCACTGAATTGTTTTTTTAAAACTGTATTGTTTTACCCCCAAAAAACCTCAGTGTTGATGTGTTTTAATCAATTAATAAGATCTCCCTGCCTTGTATTAAAACGAGCAAGTAAAAATTATAACTAGCTTTTTGCCTTTGTGTGTACTGTGTTCCCAGTGCTCCCACATTGGTTAGATGTGTAGAATTGTGCATTTTGTATTGGGGAGGGCTGTGGTTTAGGTTTGTCTGGAGAACTTGTGTAAATCACATGAGGTTGTATTGGTCTTGGCAGTCTGCGGTTCTGTAGATGTTGCATGTTTGGGCATGCTTTTAGATTTGGGTAGGCTTAATAAGCAGTGAGGTTGAAATACAACAGATCTCTGTTTTTTAAATAGTGAGCACTTCAGATATTTACAAATCCATGATCACATAATGTCACAGTCTTTATATTTGATTTTTAAACCTTTACACAACACAATACGTGTAACAACAAATGTAAGAAAAGCATATCCTGGGACGGCTCTGAGTTCAATGGGGGGGAGAGGGGTCTAACCACTAAGCTACAGGACTCCACTACAGGATAGTGCAAAGTAAATCCAGCTATGCCTGCAGTTCAGTTGTGTGATGTTCAGTTAGCTGCCCCACTAGTGCTGACACCCTGATACCCCCTGACAGCAAGTAAACAAGAGATTATATGTAATGAATTATAAATGTATGTTCTTGATTAATATTAAATCTATCCCACCTAAACTTTTTCAATGCACTCTTTATTCTGATGCTGGTAAAACCATTTCCACATGGTGATGCCAGTCAAGGCTTTGAAAAAGAATTTTAGAAAAAAAATCTTATTTGTTATTAAAACTAATGAGCTCTAATTGTTGAAGTCTAAAATGAGTAAAGCATTTGATGACTACATAATGGGGACTAATTTGTGATGTTAACAAACCAGATGTATTGGCTTAATTATAACTTCTGATTTTTTAAAAAATTTGAAATTCACAACTTGTCAAGAAATGTCCTGCCATTTTACTCTCTGCCCCCTTTTGTTTTGGATATTATCGCATCCTGTCATTGCATATAAATATGTTGAAGAAGCACTTGCATGAAGTATAGTAATGGTGGCAATGGTGGTGGTCAATTTATACAAGATTACAAACTGTGACCATTTCTTTCATATTGATTTTGGAGTCCGAGGTGAAAAAAATGTGTATTTTGAAAACATCTGTCTTTGGAAAAGCTTCAGAGCAAATCAGATTGCATGAAATTAACAGGAAGGGTGGTTGAGGCTTGGATGGGTGGATGGATGGATGGATGAAATGGGCTGAAGGGCCTTCTTCATCCAAACCAATCTTGTGATCTTGTGAATTTGGGAGTGCAATTGCCCCACCGTTTTCAAAGAATGACAAAGAATATACAGCACCGAAACAGATCATTTAGTCCAACCAGTCTGACTCCACATGAGACAAGGTTATTTTGTTTTCTGCATGTCCCTACCCCTCACTCCCCACCTATATCACATCATGACTTCCCACCCCTGTAGCATACTACTTTAAATCCTCTGCTGCAACCCTAGTTATTTTCCCAGCTTTGTTCAGTTGTACCCCGTCCACTCTGTACAGCTCATTCCTGCCCCAGAACTAATAATGTCCTAATCATAATCTAAATCCTTCCCTCCCACTTCATCTCTCCAGCCACACATTTACCTGCTATATCTTCATGTTAATATACTAACTGGAATGTTGCACAGGGTCTGTAAGGCTTAAAGTCCTGCAGCTCAATCTCTCTCCCAATTCCTGGAACTCTATATACAGGACCTGAAACCTACACTTTGCTACATCATTGGTTCCTACATGAACCACAGTTACAGACTGTTCTCTCTCTCTACAAAATCTTCTATACCCGCTCTGTTACCACCCCTTACCTTGCCACCCGGGAGGCTAAAAATCATCGGGACTCAATTTCGGCAACAGAAATGCTTGTGTATTCCCCTGAATATGAAATCTCACCATATTGCATTTCTGATCTTCACTCTCCACCCCCCTCCCCAGCCACTTCCGCAGTGCTTCAGCATGCTCATGGTTGCCTTCCTTGAGCATGAGGTTTTGTCCTTATTACTCAATGCCTCATATCTGCTTGCCAGGACAATATGCCAGTGGATCCCTGTCTCCTGTCTGCTCTTCTGACCCCTATGAACAGTCACCCACTTCCTACTCGTAAACAGGAGATTGCAAATAACACAACAAACAAATATCTGATTTATGAATATCGTGAGTGAGACCCACTGTCAGCCAGATACTACCAATTTTTGATTTCTGCATAGCCAAATGATAAAAATGTCAAGTCAGGTGGTGGATATACCCCCAGCTTGAGCTTTCACTCTAATCCCATTCCTGCCCTTTTGTTCCCTCTGTCCCTGCAGAAAATCTTTCAAAGAGCGTTTGTATCATCACTGGAGTAAAAGAAGATGCAATCCACTTGAGCTGTTTATTGCAGGAAGCATTACAGATGTCGATGAAGGTGAGCCATGTCGAGGGAATCCTATTAAAGGGCAGCAAATTACCGACCTGTGATTTGAAGCAGGAACAAACGTGTTTGTAAACCATCCTCAATCTCATAATTTTATGCTGGTTATGTTCTTTTAATACTGTCATTCACTTTTAAAAATACACATTATCCTAGTTTGTAAGTTTATTCCAACAGTTCTCCTGTTTGCAGTTTTGCTTCAGCATATAGGATCTATGCCTGTGCAAATCAAGAATGTTGTTGTAATAATAATCCATGCATTGGATCTAGCACCTTTCATGTCAAGAGGAGATCTCAAAGTGCTTCACAAGACTTACTGTATAGTGTGTGTATTTTGTAAATGATTGTGGCAGCCAATTTATGCACAGCAATCCCTACAAACAGAAATGATATGAGTGACTAATTTTATCTGAGAGATCGTTGGCCAGGAGAAACTCCCTTCTCTTTGCGAATAGTATCATGGTATCTGAGATCTTTAACATCCTCCTGAACAAACAGACCAAACACCAGTTTAACATCTCATCCGAAGAACGACACCTCCAACAATGCAGTGTGCTCCCAGTGATGAGAACACATCAGCCTATAATATAACAATGTGTGTCTTTTATAATAGTGTTGTTGAGATACTTTTAACAAGACAGTAGTGCTGTAACAGGGATATTTGCATAAATAACAGTTTTCGAATAAGAGATAAAACAATATAATGTGAATTTATATTTATATAATGCCTTTCACATCAGGACAACATTCCAAGGTGCTGATTTTCCATGTATGGTTGTATTAACTGATAATAGCTAGTTTTGTGCATTTTCTGCACTTCCGAACATAGAGTGTTAAGTGACCTCTAATCTTGGATGACACTGCAGTGCAGTGCTGGGGGAATGAGACATTGACAGTGGTGCTTTTCCATGTTTGCTACAGTAAATCGAGGTTCTGTCTACCTGTTCAAGAACATTAACCTTTTTCAAAAGAGAAGAGTTTCTTCCAGTGTCCAGGCCAGCATTCCCCCACAACCCCACACCAACAAATAGTAATTTGTTTTATGGCTGTTTGTTGGTCATTGCTGTTTGAAAATTGGCTGTCGAGTTCACCTACAAATACACACTTTACAGAAAAGTCTGTGAAGCACTTTGACATGTAAAGGTGCAATATCAAACAGAATGATATTTTGTAATGAATGGTTATCAAGTTGTATCAGTGTTGTCTTCATTAGAAAACAGATAATGACTCCAATCCATTAGTTAACTATAGTTGAAGCTTTGGTGCATCTGCCCTTATGGACTTGTATTTGCTTGAGCTTGACTGAGAATGTTTATTTCAGTAGTGTTAACCATGGCTGACGAGTGACCCTTGTCAGACATGGTTAACACAATAATAAACATTGCTACCCACTCGTCATAGTTTTCAATTTCTTTTCACAGTGTGCTGTAGCTTCATGGTTTTGGGATCAGAATTCCCTTGTGAGGCCTGTGAATATATGCTACAGTATATGTAATGAAACATGAACATACAGTATACTTTAGAAACATGCATTGTGTGACGTGATGTTGCTTTTTAGAAGACTGTGCAGTGTTACAGGCAGTGCACTGAAAAATACATTATCATCAATTTGGGATTTAGATGACTCATTTACAGTCAGTTAAGGCAGTTTAATGCAAATTGTGCCTGAATCCAGAAGCAATTTGCCAGCAGATAAACACTGTTTCTCACAAACCACATATCCTCTCATTTAGAATTGTTTGAGGATAAAATTGTTTTGTTTGCAAACAGCAGAACCTCCTTATCTCTCCGAGTAGCTGCTCCTGAAGGAAACGTGGGCTGCTGTTATCAGTATTGCTGATAGTCTCTCATGATGTATATCTTTGTTTATTAATAAACCTTTGCTTTGAGGTGATACTGAGTCAGGCCACAGTCTAATGATGTACTAAGAATTCCTACCGAAAACATAGCACTACCTCAGCATTATCTTTGAGTGTCAACCTTGACTATGAACTCAGAGTCCCGACACAGGGCTTGAACCTACAAACTTCTGACTCAGAGGTTGATCATGCTAACCTCCATAATAATAATAATAATAATCCTTGCATTTGATATAGCGCTTTTCACGTCGGGAGGACGTCCCAAAGCGCTTCACAGGATATACTGTAAAGTGAATTGACTGTATATTTGTGGGAGAACGCGGCAGCCAATTGCGCACAGCAATGTCCCACAAACAGTCGTAGATTGAAAATGACCAATTTATTATTGTTTTTGGTTTTGGAGGGATTATTATTAGGTGTGTGGAGTAAGGAAACTTGCCCAAGGTTTCGCCCTGTGCCTGGAATTGAACTCAGGTCTCTCACTTGCAAAGCGAGTGCTCTAACCACTGAGCTACAGGACTTCTTGACTGCATCGCCTCCCTCATCCACCTCAGTGGGACTGCATTATCCTGGTTTGAGCCCTACTTGACCCATCTATTATTGTATCTCTGCACATAGTTTCTCCCACCCCCGTTGGCTCCACCTCTACTTTTCCTAATTTACATGCTCCTTCTTGGTGATGTCATGCACAGACATGAGGTCAACCCCCACAGGCCTGGATGAGTGGCAACTTTCTGCAGCTGAATGTTGGCAAGATGGAATACTTCTTCCATTTTTTCACCTTGCACCTGTCGGCATCTTTTCACCTGCGGCTCCAACTTCCTTCACCTCCCCGACCTATTCATCAAACTCATTGAACCTGTACATAACCTAACCAATTGGTACGATCCCCAGTTTTCCTTCCTACTCAACATAAGGTCCCTAACCACGACTGCTTTCCTCAACCTTTGCCACATTACCCGCCTGTGATCATACCTAACACCCAACTCAGCTGAAGTTATTCACACTTCGTCACCTCCCAACTTGATTTTTCCAGCTCCACCAAACCTAAAATCCAATAAATTCAAAATCCTGCCACCTGTTTTCTCTACTAAAGTTTGCACCCCCATCACCCCAGTCCTTGCCAATCCATTGGCTCCCTATTGCAAAACAGGTCGATTTCAAGATCCTCACACATTCACATCCCAGCATCTCCCTACCTTTCCAAGCTGCCTATAACCCACTCCCCTAACCACCCTCTTCACTGAGCTGGCTCCGACCTCCTGCATGTCCCCTTCTGCTCCATCATTGGCGGCTATGCTTTCAGCTTCAGCCACTATGTCCTGAAACTCTGGAACTCTATGCCTCAACCACTCTGCCTTGCCCCCTCTTGGCTGTTTTCGGATCTCATTTAAAGACCTTATTCTTTTGTTGTGCCTATAGTCATCTATCCTCCCACTCTGGCTCACCATGAAGCGCCACCACTGCTAAGTACTCTAACACACTACTCCGCATGAAGGGCGATTAAAAAAAAATGTAGGTAATTGTTGTACTGAGAAAGTGTTTTTTCCTTCTTTGTCTCTAAGTGTAAGTAGGTTTCAACTCTTTCACTGAGTATTATGCACCATTTTGAACTACCAATAATTGCAATTTAGTTTAGAAATTATGGGCAAATACATTTCTGCTGTTGTATATTTTAATATCTTGTCTTGCAGCGAGTGCAAATTTCCTAATAGCATAGCATCTATTAGAATGGCATAGATCAATTTCAACAGTGACGTTGCTTGACCTTTCCCCAAGATGCTGGCAGTCAGTGGTGTGCTGAATTTAAGTTACTGCCCTGACTCTACTGCTTTCAGTATGTTTATGCTCTTGGAATACTCGCAGTTAATCACAGGGTGAGAAGTTTAAGATAGCTCTGTGGTAAACCATTCAAGCAAACTGGGTGAAGATTTCCTCCTGGTGTTAAATGTCCTAACATTGATGAAGTACGCTAACCCAAGGGCATTTCACTGCTCTTAGTCACATAATGACATTCCTACTCATTGTTTCAGAGCTAGAACTGAGATAGTATTTATAGGTAAATGGCATAGAAAGGTGTTTCCACACTTCACAATCCGTATGAACTCTGAAACTGGGAAAATTCAGCAGTAGAAATATGTATCCTCTTGAGTGGTATAAATATTAACAAAAAGTACTGAGTTTCCCTTGTCATTATGTAAATGTTTCTACTTGCCATTTTGTAATATTATTCAAAAAGATATTCCGGGAAAGACAGCTGAATTGACAGAAGGTTTGTTAGGGTAGAAGCAGTACGAAATGTATTGGTTATCATACTGTATAAGACATTTGAAGGCTTTATGGCTGATAGCCTTCAGTCACTCTTTCTCCCCTAGAAGAAACTCCCTTCTCTTTTTGAGGTTAACGTCTCATCTACATTTATAATTTATAGACACTTATTTGAAGTTATATTTAACAGAATGAGTTACTTTCACTTAGAGCATTGGAACCAAGATGCTTATTTTTTTTGAGATGGCTCAGTAGGTTACTTAATGGTGTTCTTTACATATTTTTTACATTTAGTGTAAAGGATTATTATTATTGTGTTTATTGATTCCCATTTACATGCCAGAAATATTCTACCCTGTACTATATACAGCAGCTTTGATCATCCTTCCCTCCCCCACTTCCCCCACCCTCCTGAATCCAACCCCAGGCTCAAGTGCAACATTTAACTGTTCAGCGCCTTGGGATGTCCTCACAACATGAAGGCCTCTATATAAATGCAATTTGTTGTCTGTTGTGGTGCATTTTATTTGCTAGGAGCAGTGCCTATTTGAGACTGGGGAGTTCAATGTGGATTAGAAGTAGATTGAGAAAATACCGGAAAGGTGCAGTGAAGTGAATTGTGGAGGGCACACACATTTTTTTGATTCTTGGACTAAGAGTTTATGAAATTGAGCATTGAATGTTTTGGGGTTTGTACAAGTGGGGGTGGGTCAGTTTTCCTGTTCACTGTTTCTAATGAAACCCCTGAACTATATTGTGCTTGGCTTATTGCTGCATAGGGACAACCTCATGATAGGTCAGCATGTTCTCAAGGAGCTTTTTGTTTCAGTTTGTGCTTTTAAAGGTTTGATGCTTATTGCCACTGATGTTTTTACTAGGTTGCTCACAACGAGCGCATAGAATTCATAGCATTGAAACAGCTTCAGAGAATATGGTTCATAAATCGCAACACACTCTGCACTATATTATCTGCTTGTGTCCTTTGCCCTTTCTGTGGCACTTGGGATGGATAAATATGGGTATAGATAACTTTGGAGGCTCACTGTCAGTTTCTGTTATGCATCACATGATGGGAAATTGTAGAGCAAGACAGACAGGTATCTGTTTTTGGCACCGGGTTGACCAAATAGATATCACTGGAACTCAAATTTCAGGCAGCAATAATGTACAGTGATGCTACTGTATGGAGCTCATATAGGCTAGGCTAAAACTTCAAATGCAGTGCTGGGGGTGTACTGCAATGTTGGAGTTGCCATCCTTCAGATGAGATGTTAAACTGAGGTCTCATCTGCCCATTCAGGTGAACATTGAAGATCCCATGGTATGACTTGAAAAGAGAAGGGAGTGCCTCCCAGTGTTCTGGGAGGCATTGGCAGGGGCAATGGGGTGGGGTGCTGTCAGGGGAAGTGGGTGAGGAGAGGGCAGTGTCAGCCCTGTTGGCTGCCCCGCATAAGCATCTACTCTGTCGCCTTCTCCACCTAAACCAGCCTCCTGTAATTAGAGGGAAGTTGCTGAAACGTTTGTTTTGTTATCCTGTTTATTTGTGCTGTTTGGAATGTGTAAATGAGAGTTTGTTGAATGACAAGACTCCTTAAGGCAAATTGCCTCATGTTCATGAGTCGCTGAAAAAGCAGCTAATTCATTTCTTCAGGGCATTATAACCCAGCAATTCAGTAAACAAAAATCACTGTTTGCTTTTTAATCGGCCAGTTAGTACCCTGAATGAAAAGAGCAACGGTTGGAATGCGATTTCTAAGAGCCGCTTCAGTGAAATTCACCACTAATATTGCAATAGAATGGAGACACCGAGGACATAAATACGTATGAGCTCTACTCACGAGCCACCTACAGCCTGCGAAAGTTTGAATGGTGGAAAAGAGCCGACAAGATCACCATCAGCTTTTTCTTTATTCATAGTAATTTAAAGAAGGTACAGTGAGCTCCTTTCCAAACTTTAATGGGCATTTATGAGTGGTCAGTATTTATGGAACTGTACTTCAGAAAGAATTTGTATCCAGGAAAGAAGAGGAAAATACTCATACAATGTCTAACACTGGTGTGTATGCATGCGTTTACTATTTAGACCAGACACTCAGGGTAGCGAGTCATCCCACTCACCTCCTGTTAATTCTGCAAGCCAAAGCCCTAACAAGGAGGGTCATCCTAGCTGGACAAGCAACGGGAAAGCTGGCCAGTCAGCAATATCAATGGCAAGCAATGTGGTTTAGCTGGTTAGACTCCAGCAGTACCTCATTGCACAGTCTGGAGTCCCCAAGGTTGGCTCCTGCCAACCTGTGCCTAATACTTTCCAGAATTAGGTAAGCAGGATGTGTCCGTCTAGGGATAGAGTGTGCATTCCATTCCAACAATCCATCTCTGGGATTTCCATGTGTAGGTAGGATGCTTGGAAATCTCAGCTTGGTTTGGATACTCTTAAGCATGGTGATGGATTTCTGCATGTGTCAGATACCGGCTGCCCAGAAAAAAACTATTTAGAACCACAGAAATTTACAGCACAGAAAAAAGCCACTCAGGCCATCACGTCTGTTGGCTCTGAAAGAGCATTCCCATTTGCCTGCCTTTACCCCTGTAAATTATTCCTCTACATATCTCTAAATACTGGCTGGCTGATCTGCTATCGGTAGTCTCTTGGAGTAGTTCTTGACCTGCTTGTCTTAGGAATTGGATGACCAAATCTGCCGCAGAAAGTTGACTTGATTCCGACATTCTGTTGCCCAGCTTGAAGCCAGCTCAGCTCCAAGAAGATTCTTTCCCTCCCTCCCTCCCTCCCTCCCTCCGTATTATTATCATAAGCTGCCAGTTTTCACTTTTTGGCATTATCTAGAGTCTTCTGTTTTTACAATTGTTTCTATCTTTATAAATAGGTGGATATGATGCAATGGTCAGTGAGTAAAGGGGGCCACTGTCTTCAGAGCATGGCCTCGGGTCTGCACTACAACTTTGTTTATGTGAACGTGAGTATGATGTCTGTTTCTGAACAATAAAATATTCATTTATACCTCACTGAAAGGGTCTAGAATGAGAAGTGGCAGCACAGAAGAAGGCCATTTGGTCCTTCAAGCCTATATTTGGGGCTACCACTTCCACTGGAACTGTCTACTCTAATCCCAGATTCCCTCCAGCTCATTCACTCCTTTAATGTTGCACTACTTTCATCAGACATTTTATAATCTCCTTGTAGACTGAGGAAAGTAGTGCACAAAGCATTGCTTTCATATATGCCAAGATATCAGGACAAGAGGGCACAGGGTTATGAAGAGCAATTTTATGAGGCTTTAGGACAGACACCAGGGGGTATTTCTTTACACAGAGGATAATCAGCTGCCACTAAACCAAAGACTGCAGGTTTGATTTTCTTCTACAATTGAAGAGCTAAAACTGGTAGTTTCTTTAATTTTTGTAACTGACTCAACAAGCTGTGGAAATAATTTCTCCTTGTTGATGTTATCAAAACACCTCTATCGGGTTTCCTCTCAACCTTCACTGTTGTAGGAAAAACAGCGCCAGTTTCTCTACTCTTTCTTCATAAATAAAACCTCATCCCTGGGAACATCCTAATAATCCCTAGTGTTTTGCTGTAGAATTGTCAGACAATAAAACATAAATTTATAATTTAGAATCATAATTATAGGTTTTAGATGTACTTCTGTTTCCTTCAGTGTATTGTTCTTTGTCTTAAACAGGTCAACAACTTTGACATACCTCAAGACGTTACACAGCTGCTGGAGGCAATTGAAAATGTTAATCTTTCAGCTTCATATCCTGTGGTTGTGACTGTGGTAGGTACAGAATAGTTTGCTCCATGTGTAGTGCACTGCAGTCCCTGTGGAAACTTGCCTGATTTATTTACTTTTAAGTTGTTCAAGTCACTGTTTAAGCACTTAAAAATAACTATCACTGGAGGGGTGGGTGGAGGAAGATAGAGACATGTCACTTTTTTAACCAATTGGAGTCTAAACATGATTATTTAAAAAACGAATACAGGAAGCATGCAAACATTTTATGGTACTGTTAGGCTGCACTTTTGGTAGCAAAGAGCTGTTATTTTGACTGTGATTTGCTATTGAATGCACAGTATGAAAGGGAGGGGGGCTGAGGCAATTAACATTGATAACCCGACCTCACAGAGTAGAAACTCCTGAGCTTCAAGCAGATTAAGCACAACATAATTATAATTCAACTTGTATATTGAAAGCGCGTGATGGCACTAGAAAATCCAATTGATTTACTACTCAAAACACCCTTCTCACCGGTCTCCTCTGCTCCACTATTCACAAAATTCCACTAATTCAAAACTCCGCTGCCCACATTCTCACCCGCACGAAACTCCATACCTCCATTACCCCAGTCCTCGTTCAACTCCATTGGCTCCGTATGACAAACGGATCGATTTCAAGCTCCTCACGCTTGTATTTCAATCCCTTCATGGCCTGGCAACCCCCTATCTCTCCAACCTGCTCTGTCCCTACACTACTACCCGCTGCCTCCTCTCAACTTTTTTTATGTCGCTGCTCATTTATTTCATATTGAATTATTACTTGCTATTAAGTTTTAAAAAAATGGTAACATAATACTTGTTCGGCTGGGATCAACCTACTTTGTAGTGCTAGCAGGACATACCTATAGTTCCAAGTCTGTCTTGGATTACTGCAGACCTACTTCTTATTGTCTAACACATCTCCTCTGAAACCCTTTAGCTGAGTTGGGGAGAGTGATTCACTTGTGGTAAAGTCAGTGTCTTTAGTTATTGACTTGCATCATTTCATTTATCAATGATAGGTTAACACATGATGGGTTGCAAATTTTCACCATCATTATCAAAAAACACTGAAATGTTTCCTTCTTGCTGTAAACATGAATGACTGACATCATGGTGGCTGACAACTGAGCAGGTTTGAGAGCTGACTCCTTGGAACTGCGTTTAACAATCTTTACACTTGCTATTTATTGGACAACCAACAAGCATTGTAAGTCTTCCTAAAGTGAGTGGAAGCGCACTCCTATCACAAACATGTAACTGCTACAAAGAGGTGAAGAAATTAAAAGTGAAGAAAATTTGGTATGTACTGTAAAGAGATGGTCCACATTCCACAGACTGTTAAAGCGAGACTGTGATTGAAAGCATTCATTTAAGGGGAAAATGGATGTGTAACCCTCCTTTGAAAATAAAAGTGAAAGAGAAAAATTAATAACTGCGCCATGTAGTTTTGACAAACTAGCCTGGGGATTATCACATCTGGAGAAATATGAGAGGCTATTTTATATTTAAAACTGGCAGTGGTTTAAAATAATGGCAAAAATGTATGGATTCTTGTGATCTCCAGGTGTGTGGGGGAGGGGATTTGACATGGGCTTCTCTAATCATTGTTAGGGCACCTCCTGCTCGTGCAAGGTTTCCCAGTCTCTCAGACGTTGCTCTTGGCCTCTACTCTGAAACGTCAATCTGTCAACCTCTCTATGGTTAGGTTGTGGCGACTATTACAAACTGTGAAACTTTTCTACAGTTTGTGGTTAGCATATTTTAGAGCACCTCCAGCGTGATGAGAGCATCAAACCCTTTGCTTCAGCATGTCAAATGCATATTTAGTGGTATTCTCTTGTGCTGCCATATGTGCTTCAATTGTTACATTTGCTAATGACAAGCCACCCTAATGGATGTGCAGAAAATGCCCTGAGAAAAAATGTTGAGGACAAAATTCTTCATTGTGGTTGAAAAAGTGCCTGTTGGGAAAAGTAACAGCATAAATGTTGCCTCGATGTTGGAAACTGTCTTCCGATATAAAGTGCAGCTCCACTTCGTCTCCAGAGAACTCGGCCTCCAAGAAAATATGTTCAGAGACGCTCTTCTTTCTCTTCATCCTCTCCTCCCTTTGTCTAATTATATTGAAAAATGTGTGCACAATGATTGAAAAATGTAGGCAATACATGAAGGCAGTGGTTAGGGAACACCTGATTTTGGGTTTTATATGCCTTTAGGTTATAGGAGGGAGAGAGATTGAAGAATGCCAGAATCAATTCAACCCTCTGTGGTGGTCTTGGTAGTCTGGTTCCTGAGCTAGGCAGGTCCACAGTACTCCAAGGCATAGCCTAGCCAGCCTGGCTCGTCGGTAGGACTTAGAAGGGAAGGCCAGTCACTGGGTGCAGGGATTCTTCCCATTCAGTTCCCACTAAGCATTTAACCTCTCAGATATAGTGAAAACATTTAGTGTCTGAGTATTTAACAGTGCGTTCGGTATGAATGAATACAGTACAAGATGATTAAAGTTGTTTAATAAGAACAATGACTTTCTTGTTCATTTGATTTAAATCTGCCCTGGAATAATTGCCTAAACTGTTTGTTACTGATAATGTGTGGTATTCCATGAGCTTGTTTAAAGCTAATGTAGAGACTACAGAGCAGCGCTGCTGCCAGTGCTAACAAACAGTAATCAGTGGTAAATTAGTGGTAACATATGCTGTACACCGGATGATCAACGAGAGACCATAGTGGCATATGGCATTGCAATACCTCAGTGTGCAATGGATGTGTAAGTATTTATTATATAAACGAGAATCCTACTAATTTAAACATTTTTGAATCATTGCCAGGTAACCTTGTTTTTCCTCTTTATAAGGTAACTTAACCAAATAATTATTTTTGTTTATAGGGGTGCACCATGAAAACATGTATTTGGGCAGTCATTGTAGATTTGGTAGCAAGATGCTTATGGAACATTGGGAACAATGCAGGTTTAAGGATTATTTGCTCTTGATACTCAAGAGTTTGGTTGGTATCAGGTGAGAAACACACAATGCCTTGTCTACTTTAACAATGTTCCAATAGAAAGTTATAGCTCTTAGTAAAGAAGTTTCTGAACCACCTTTATATTTTCATACAGAAGCCTAGTTGATGTATCATTGAATCATAGAATGAAAGTTTACGTCACAGAAGGAGGGCATTCGGCAGCTCAGGTCCATTTGAACAGGTCGATGGGACCTTGCGTTAAGGTCTCATCTAACAACAACAACAAAATTACATGTGTAAAGTGTCTTTCACGTCGGGAGGACGTCTCAAAGGGACAGGAATCCAAAAAATGCAGTGCTTCCCCAAGACTGAATTCAATGTCCTGACACAGGGCTTGAACCCACAGCCTTGTGACTGAGAGGTGAGTGTGCTACTAGCTGAACCAGGCTGATACATGCTGATTTAGTGGTGGAAGGATCAGAGGTTTCATCCAAACCTCTCTTGTGATATGCATCGTCTCGCTGCCGTTATTGAGAGTAGGGCTAACCTGCTGGCTTTTTAATATTAATAAAAAAAAGCTTCCAATTTCAAAATTTAGTGTAGGTTTGTTGCTAAGTTGAGTGAGAAGCATATATCAGGCGGTGGGGGGGAGGGGGAGAAGGGTGATACTCGAGTGAAATTCTCTGCTGGTGTCTTGTAAGCAGCCTAGTAATAGCGTGGTGGTTGGTTGTAGTATTTTTGCTGTCCTGCTTCATTGTTCAGAAGATTTGTTGGCTGCCTGGACATGACCAGAATGTGTGTGTTTCGCTCACAAAATATACAGTCAATCCACTTTACAGCACACCCTGTGAAGCGCTTTGAAACGTCTTCTCGACGTGTTAAATTGCTATATCAAATGCAAGGATTATTATTATTATTGTTAGGGATGAGTCTTTCTATTTACCCTCCAGCAGTCATCATTCTGGGAGAGCTGGAATGTAACATTTGATTTTGCAGAAAAAAATGTCTTTAGAGATGGCTTTAAGCCAATCCGAGACCAATTTTCTTAGATGTGGCTCAAATCTGCACAACAGATATACCGAGGAGGTAGAGGAAAATGGGTAAATAAAGGGTTTAAAATTCTTAAACAAAAACAGTACCAGTTTTAGTGTGATATACAGAAATAAAGTACAATTAATGTTAAAATAAAAACAAAAGCAGGAGAAAATACGGTTTGAAAGAAATTATAGCAAGAAAAGGAGACGCTGGAGAAGAAGTAAAGTGCTTAATACTGTAGCGTTTATTATTTGAGAGCTTTAAATATTTATTTACCTAGAGTTAAAATTGTGTTAATAGAACTTAATATTACAGTAATTAATTGCTCTGAACATTGGAATAGCCAGATGAAGTGCTCATCAAAAAANTGGTTGGTTTAGAAAGCCTGGGTTCCGTGGAGCTACTGATGTCAGTTATTATGCTGTTTCCTTTGCCCAAACCTTGCTGGAACCTCTCTCATCACATCAGCAGCTGAAGTACAGAGCCATGCAATTCAAATTGTGTCCACTCTCCGTGATCCATTAAAGCTCTTGGGTGGTCCTTTTGATGCGTGAGAGATTTCCTGGATCATATTCTAATGATTTTAAAGGGTTAGACATCTCACTGGTGCTTTAACATCAATAAAAAAGGGCTCACAATTTCTGTTCTCCACAATTTGATGTATGGATTGGGTGTAGCAAGGAGTGAGAAGCATATATCAACAACAACTTGCATTTATATGACGCCCCTCACGCAGGGTAGCATCCCAGAGCACTTGACAGTGGCGGAGCATGATGCCAAGGCTGGGGGAGGTGGAGGTGACAGTAGGCACGGTTGAAGAGGAAGGTCTTCAGGCATGACCTGAGGATGGAGAAGGACGGGGCAAGGCGGAGGGATAACAGAAGAGTGTTCCAGAGTTTCGGGGCGTATTGGCTGAAAGTGTGGCCACCGATGGTGGAACGGAGGGCAAGAGGACCAAGCAGGAGGATGAAGCCAGTCCAGTGGAGGCAGTGGGTTAGGTCTTCCCATTTCTAATAATTTCTCATCATTTCTCGTCATTGACTATTAGCAGCAAAGTCAAATGAGTTTTAAAATTGGATGATTTGGTGCTATATCTTCCTGAATATTGCCATCTTTCTCTGTCTTTGACAGGAATCTTCTGGTTCTCTGAGCTTTGCTTGTCACCTGCAGAACATTTCTTATTGTGGGTGACTTTGTATCTTGCCTCATGTTCCAGATCATTTAGTCTCTTTCTGCAGTCTTCTGTTTTTCTCTGAGCTTTACTCTTTACTCATGTGTAGACAGCGGTGAACTTAATAGAAGAGGACAGTTTGTAAAGAGACTGTGCTTCTTGATGTCAGAGCTACTGCTTGAAGCTTTATACAGTGGTTTTTGGTATAACAACAAAATTACATCTATATAGCGCTTTCACGTTGGGAAGACCTCTCAAGGTGCTGGATGGTCAGTGTTTCGGACCCAAGCCTGGCGTCAGGAATGGGGAGGGTGGAGGCAGGGTGAAGGAGGGTGATCGAAAGCACGGTTAAAGAGGAGGCTCTTGAGATGGGTCTTCAAGGAGGCAAGAGAGGGGGCGAGGTGGAGGGACTGCGGGATGGTGTTCCAGAGGGTGGGAGCAGAGTGGCAGAAGACCCGCTTGCCAATGGTGGGGCGGGCAAGACGGGGGATGTGAAGCAGGCCGGAGCCCGCTGAGCGGAGGGAACGGGCAAGATGGTATGGGGTTAGAGGTCGCAGAGGTGGGGAGAGCGAGGCCTTTAAAGTTGAGGACCAGGATCTTGAACTATTTCCTCTTTGTGATGGGAAGCCAGTGGAATCGGGCGAGGATGTGGGTGATAGGGTCACAGAGCCTGGTGTGGGAGAGGACATGGGCTGCAGAGTTCTGCAGTCTTTTGAGGGAGGAGTCGAGGAGGCCGACAAGCAGGGAGTTTGCATATTCAAGCCTGCGTGTTCTGAATGCGTGTATGAGTGCTCGACGGCCTGCGGTGTGGGACAGTGCCGGAGCCGGGCAACGTTGCGGAGATGGGGGAAGGCAGAGCAGGTCATGGCGTAGATGTGGGGTAGAAAGGATAGTTGAGGGTCAAACAAAACCCCAAGGTTCTGGACTGGCTTAGCAAGGTGGAGTGTGCAACCATGGATGGTGATGCTGTCAGCGCCTGAGGTGTGGAGTTGTTGACAGGAGCCAATCAGGAAAGCCTTGGTCTTGTTGATGTTCAACTGAAGAAAGTTGGCTTTCATCCAGGACAGACATCTCATAAAACTTGGATGTTCTGTCAGCTACTCAGTAACATTCAATGAGCAGGTTGAGTGAAGTAATGGAAGAAAAAGTTCAGAAGGTTATGGAAGGAAGTAAATGCGTCAATACCAATGACAGTATACTTTGTTGTAACAGAAGTCGAAGGGAAGATTTGTTTTCCCATTGAATCTCTGAATGGGAGGAACATTCCAGCCTAATTGTATATTTAGAAATATTTCCAAAAGGAATTTAATGAATACTTTGTAAAGTCTATAGACAAAGGCTTTGATGTTGTGGGTTGTGATAGAGATCTTAGTGCAATGGAACAGATTGGAGCCGAGGAGATTAGCAGTTGGGGAAAGAGAATTGAAGCTTTTTTATTACTTTAATAAGAAAATTCTTAGGACGAATGTTTTCTCTGTGGGAGTAACTGAATTATGATTAATCTATATTAGAAAGCACAAATATCAAAAGGAACTGGGAGGCTGAAAATATTCAAAATATTTGGGACCTTTTTGTTTTGAACATATACGGAAACCCATTATCACCCTTAAGAGTATCTAAACCAGTCTGGAATTCCACATATGTGTGCCACCTGCACATTGAGATTTTTGAGATGCACTCTCTCCTTAGAGGGCTGCATCCTGTTTAAATAATGTTGGAGATTACAAGTTGCCAAGGTTTCGGACCCCAGAGTGTGCTTTGGTGCACTTTAGGAGTTTAACCGGCTAAAACAGCATTGCTAGCCATTGAGAGCACTGTGTGGCAAGCTTCCCACTGTTTGTCCTGCTAAGATCACCCTACCTGTTAGGGTTTTGGCTTGTACGTTAAAGGGAGTTCAGTGGGAAAAATCCCTGGTCCCAATGAAATGTCCTGCTTCTCCATGTCCTGCCAATGAACCAGGATGCCTGGTCTGTCATCATCAGTAATTCTCTGAAGTACTAAGGATCTGCCTGGATCAGGAACTCAGGAACCTTGGCAATATTACTTCAAGAAGTACTTTAAGTCTCATTTTTTCTGAGATGTGGTACTAATTGCATTATGCAGTGCTTTTTAATCCCAAATATCACAAAGCTGTATTGTACAACTGTTAGAATTTATTTCAGTTGAAAATGGGAAGCTTTGTAATTAATGGGGCTGGTAAGAGTCATGATTGAATGTTGTCTTTTAAGTTCTCAGTTGGGTGGGTGCTCAGTATAGGACCTCAGCTATTGATGATTCTGCATTTTCATCTATTCTTTTCTATGCCACGACTGAATTCAGTAAGAAAATGGGCTTCGATTGTGAGACTACCAACTGATTCTTTCTGCCACAGGTGCACTTGAACAATCCAGAAAACTCAACTTTCTGTGTTCAAATGGAAGATTTTAACAACATCAAGCAGCTGGCCAATGAAGCAATGGGATACCATGTTTTGGTTTACAGCCTGATGATCAATTGTACCAAGGTAGGGATCTCGCTTTGACTATCCTTATTGTGAAGAAGAGAGATAGTCATCTATTTCAAATTTTAAAAGAGCAAGTCACAATGTTTATTTTATTTCCTTGTTTTGGGAGGTGGGGTTGTGGGGGTTAACTTTACAGGACATGCTTTCTGGAATGCTTCTTTTAAAATCTGTCAGTGCTGGGGGGACCAATTGATTATGTTTTGCTGTTAAATTGACCAAGTACTGATGCTGCATGAGGAAACAGTGCATGAAAGTTTACTGGTCTCTTATTGCCTTTTGATGACCAACAGTGACAAGTTGACACATTGAAAAAATGTCTGTTTAAAATCACATCGCAGCTTTTATTAGTTGAGCCATTCAACAAAATATATACAGTTTGTCATAGTTGCTCAGTCCTGCCAGTCTTTTTTAAATTCTCTTATGAAGCAGTACAACTGGTTGCAGTAATCATAAGATGCAGGATTCAAAGTTTGTGATCCATTTCTACAGATCCAAGTCACACAAATGGGGATTCTTTCTGGTAAATGAAGTACATCACAGGAACTTCGCTTTGACATGATATATTTCCAAAATAGAGTTTGGCAAGTATTTCTTATTGAGGATTTCTATTTGAAATCCTACATATTGGACCCCACTGTGGCATTTTAGTTCTAAGCAGCACTTTTCATTTTCAGTAGATCAAAAAATGCATTGCCCTAGCAGGATTGGTTTAATTTCCTGTTAGAAGGCTCAACTATTCAAATATTAACAGATAGGCCACTATATACTACTTTCTTTGATACCAAGCATGAAGAAGTAGAATAGATTTGCATGCAACCTGTTGTCTTTTTCAACCCCGTCATGTTAGCACACTTAGAACTCTCTTATTCATAGTCAGGGGTGTAATATTTGTAAATCCAAAACGCAGTTTAGATTCACTAGTTCCTTTATTTAAACCTTACTCTTCCATAATCTGCCCAGTCACTTTCCCAGAATCATTTTATGCTTGCTTGCTTCTCATTGTCAATGTCCAATTACCAATTAAGTCATTAAAGCAATATGCAACAAGGGGCACTTCTGGGCAGGAAATGTCACAATAGATAGATTTCTGATTACATTGTTTGGACACTCTCAAAGTGGGCACTGCCGTACTGCATTCTCATAGCCCAGCACTTATCTGGAGAGAACGATTGGGTTTAAAATTTAGCATTTGCAAATCGTATTTGTGTTGCTAATTAGTCATTTGACTTTGTGAATGTGGGACTGTGAGATTCATGGAGGAGGTTTGCACAATGCCCACATGCAAGGCGATATTGTCGGGGTGGGGGAATAAAAAGAAAAGTCTGGTTTGTGAAACTCACTGCAAATGTCACATTTTGAAATTCGAAAACAGGGAGTGGCATTTTCAACCCCAGTGTGGTCAATTCCTCGTGCACTCGTACATGACCATTGAAGTCAGAGATAACACTTTGACTATTCAAGATCTGAAGTTAGAACCTCAACTGTTTCCCCCGCTATTGGGCTCCGACATTGGCTATACAATTCTAAATTGCATATAAGATTTTAAATGGGATTGAGGAATTAAATCCATAGCAATACTTTCAGATATATCAAGCCAAGCACGACAAACTGGCACAGGTTCAGGGTTGTAAATGGGAATTTCAGGACAAACACTTAGAAATTTTCCTCCGCAGAAGGTAATTCGTGACTGGAACAGGTTACCAGGAAAGGTTGAAGTTAGGAGCTGAACTTATTAATAAAAAAAACCTTGATGCTGTGATTGGGAACAGTAGAATAGCTATCCTAAAAGGATGAGGTTAAATGGGTCGAAGGCTGTCTTCATCTCACTCTCTTAATCTTGTTGTGCCAACCTAAGAAAGATCACTGGCCATTCTTGCAGACTTTCTGCATGAGATTACTAGTTTGTACCATGTAACAGCAGTTTTGAATTGTAGGCCTGTGGCTACAGAAACTCGGTTGAGAACTCTTCAAAGTCAGTTCACGTAAAGTCATTACAGCAGGCGAGCGAAGAACCTTCATCCACATCTGGATTTGATTAATCCCCAGAGGTGCTAATCTGTAATGCTGCTCCATCTTTGAATTGGATTGGTATGCAACTTCTAACATTGGGGCACCTCCTGTTCTTAACCAGAGTATTACCGCACTTAGTATTCAGGTTGGTTTCAGGAGTATATGAAAAATGATATAGCTTTAAGAATGTTTCTGAATCTTCAAATTAAAGCATTTTCCATAAACTAAACTCCTCATCTTTGGAAATTTCTGTATTTAGATAATATGTTACATTAGTTATTCAGTTTGTCATGTTTTTCCACTGATTCTTCTGGAAGAGAAGTCACCTGCCATCTCAATTGAAGCAGGTTTACACTGTGAAGGGAGAGTCATGAGGGCATTATGTGTCATCACAACAACATTAGCATTAAACAGTTGTTATAACTGTTGTTTGGGTTCAGTCTCAGAAGCTTTGTTATCCTTGCATTTTTTGCACCTGCATTTGATATTGTGAGGACCCTTTCACAATGTGAGGATGTCTCAGAGTGTTTGAAAGAATATACTGTAAAGTGTATTGACTGGGAATTTTGTGGATGATTATGGCAGCAAATTAATTTACACATAGCAATATCACATAAACAGACAAGATCGCCAATGTCGTACCTGGGGGGTTGTTGGCCAGCACACTGGAAGAAGCTCCCTTCTCTTTCAGATAGTGCTGCAGGATCTTTAATGTCCACCTTTTATTTGGTCAGCCGGGTGTCTCTTAAGAGTATTCAAACCAAGCTGAGAGTTCCATGCATCCCACCTATACATGGAAATTCCAGAGATATTTTTTGGAATGGAATGTGCACATTCTCCCTGGTGGGACTCATCCTGCTTACCTAATTCAGGATAGTATTAGGCGTAGGTTGGCAAGCACCAAGGCTTGGGTCAACCTCTTGGTCTCTCCCTCAGACTCACTGAACCAGTGTGCAATCTAGGCGTCCGGTTTGACCCCCAGCTGTCCTTCCTCCCCCACATCCAGTGCCTGACTAGGACTGCCTCTTCAACCTATGCCACATTGCCCGTCTCCGCTCGTACCTTACCCCAAATGCAGCCGAAACTCTCCTGCATGCGTTTGTCACCTCCTACTTGGATTACTCAAATGCACTCCTCGCCGGTCTCCCCAGCTCCAGTATTCAAAAGATCCAGCTCATTCAGAACTCTGCCGGCATATGACTTGGACCAAACTCCATATCCACATCTCACCAGTTCTGGCCAGGCTCCACTGGCTCCCCATCACCAAACGGATTAACTTCAAGATCCTCACACTTGTGTTCAAATCCCTTCACTCTCTGGCACCTCCCTAACTCTCTGGCCTCCTCACTCCCCAATCCACACACGGCGCCTTCACTCGACTGCCACTGGCTTCCTGCTCATCCCTCGCACCCTCCGCCCCACCATCGGAAGTCGCGCTTTCAACCACTACGCCTCAAAACTCTGAAACACTCTCCCTCAATCCCTCCGCCTTACTTCCTCTCTCCCATTTTTCAAGTCCCACCTGAAGACCTTCTTCTCCAACCATGCCTATGGCTGCCTCCCTTCCCGGCTCGGAGCTATAACACCTGATACCCGTTATTAGCAAAGTGTAAAAAATGGCTAGCCTCTGGGTTGTCAAGTCTGCATTGATGTCACTTCCTGCGCTAATGGGCTCTATGGGCTAAAAGCTCTGCTAAGATCTTTCTGTGTTCTGCCTTGATACAAAAATCATCTGCTGACTTTATTTCTTTAGCAAAGTGATGTTAGTGAAGCTTTCTGCACAAGGCGCACATCCGCAGCACTTGGGTAGTGATGGAAGCGTTATATGTCGTTGCTCCCCTTATTGTATAGTATATCATAGAATCATAGAATCGTACAGCACAAACAGAAGCCATTCGACCCATCAAGTCTGTGCTGGCTCTTTGAAAAGAGCAATGTAATGTCAATCCCAGCCCTTTCCCCACAACCCTGCAAACCCGTCCGCCTCAAATACCCGTCCACCGCGTTTTTAAAAGTTGTTATTGAATCGGCCTCCACCACCCTTTCAGGCAATGTGTTCCAGATTCGAACAACTCGCTGCATGAAAGAAATTCTTCTCACCTCCCCTCTGCTTCTTTTAGAGACTATTTTGAATCTGTGACCTCGAGTCACCGACACACCCACCAGTGGAAACAGTTTTTCCCTTTCTAACCTATCAAATCCCCTCATGATTTTGAAGACCTCCATTAGGTCTCCTCGTAACCTTTTCTGCTCCAATGAGAATAATCCCAGCCTCTCTAGCCTTTCCTCATAATCAAGGTCCCTCATTCCTGGTACCATCCTTGTAAATCTCCTCTGCACCCTTTCCATTGCCTTAACATCCTTCCTATAGTGTGGTGCCCAGAATTGGGTGCAGTATTCTAACTGAGGCCTAACCAGTGTTTTATATAGGTTAATCATAACCTCCTGACTCTTGTACTCTATGCCCCAATTTATAAAGCCTAGTACCCAATATGCCCTTTTTACAGCTTTATCTACCTGTCCTGCTACCTTCAAGGATTCATTTACCTGAACCCCCAGGTCTTTCTGTTCCTTCACCCCCCTTAAGATTATATTATCTAACCTAAATTGCCTCCTCTCATTCTTTCTTCCAAAATGCATTACTTCGCATTTCTCCACATTGAAATTCATCTGCCTTGTGTCTGCCCATTTTACCATTCTGTCTATGTCTTCCTGCAGTTGGCTACTATCCTTCTCACTGTTTACTATCCTACCTAACTTTGTGTCATCTGCAAACTTGGAAATGGTACTTGCTATACCCAAGTCCAGATCATTTATGTATATTAAGAAGAGCAGTGGTCCTAATACCGATCCCTGGGGGACGCCACTGTACACTTACCTCCAGTCAGAAAAGCAGCTGTTCACCACAACTCTCTGCTTTCTGTCTCCCAGCCAGTTCTGGATCCATGCTGCCACTGTCCCTTTTATACCATGGGCTTCTACTTTTCTTA